TGGCAATAAGTTGTTATATTAATATTAAAAAGTTTATAATACGTGACTTCTATTTGTTTACATGTCCAGTATTTGTTTATTAACATGTAACTGGTTGTGATCAACTGTTAATCTTGCTTTAGGTAATATATGCTAGTTGTTTTAGTTTGTTGATCTGTTATGTTCTACAATTTTGTTGTAGATTAATCAGCTTGCTTTAATTTATATCAACCAGGTGGAAAATTAATATGTTCATGTTTACAAAATGTGAATTAGTTGATCTGGAGTTGTTGTGTTGTTGTGATCTTTTTAGCTATTTGACCAGAAAGACTTGAATGTCCTCCTTAGTTTCAGTTAACTTTGAGGTTGTACTGATTTATCAGTATAATTTATTGTTTCTGAGACTTTTTTTAGTGCCTAAAAAGATGTTAATCTGTATTGACCTGGCTAAGAACTTTATAGAGTTAAGGTTGGATCTCAAGAAATCTACTGTAAATCAGCTTATTTTTGCTTTTTCTCCTTCCTAAAAGCAAAAATAATTCAGGGATATCTGTCTTTCAAGCTAAGCGAAACTCTTTTTTTATTGTTACAAATTAAAATTTGTTATTTAGAAGTGGATAGTTATATTTTTCAAGGCTTGCTCTTGTATAGAAGAGTTTTTGTGAATTTTTTAAGAAAATTACCAAAAAAGAAAATTTTTTGAAAAATGTGAATCAGTGGAAAAAGTTTTTTTATTCTTATTTGCTTTTTTATAATTATAATATAGTACTTATAAAATTATTTATTTTAAAAAGTTGATATAATATGAGAATTAGAAGGAATATTTGATTATTCAATAAAAAAAGCAATTGGTGTTTATATAATTCCTTCTAATATAATATTTACACATGGTGCATGGATGTGAAATAAAAATTCACCACATAAGATAATACTTATGACGAAGATAATATATGTATAGATTTAATAGATTATACTACAAATCAATATAGATTTAATTTTTTGTATGAATGTATATTAGTATCTTTTCTTTTGACTATAATAATTAATTTAATAAGAATATTTTTATTTTGAACCTTTGAACCAATTATGATAAAAGTTATTTGTGATTAGAAATATTCTAATTTTGAACCAATCATGTTATATAATATAGAAATATATATTAAAATTATTATGGATAATTTATTTAAATATGGAAATAAATAATTTGCTAAGATCTTACAATAATAGGAAATATTTTGAAATTGTTGTTATAATATGTAAGAAGTAGAGTTTGAGGCTGAGAATGCAGATATTAAGGTTGAGAATATAAAACTTAGGGCTGAGAATGCAAAACTTTTAAAACGAATTATAGAAGAATGAGGCCAATATAGCAATATCCAATCCTTTTTGAGCGTATTAAGGCTACAATTCTTGAGCTTGATACAAGGAATGCAAAATTAAAACCAATTATAGAGGAATTTACAAAAAAATTGGAATCTAGCCACCTTGTGACTACCTTCGGCAAGAAAAATCGCAAATTTCAGACTAAATGCCTTCAAATAGCTGAGGAAATTCTAAATGAGGAACCGATAATTGAGTATCGACCTTCCTTCTTGAATGGATTGGAACTTGATGCCTTCTTTCAAAAGTATCGAATCGCATTGGAGGTGCAAGGAAGTCAGCACCGGTTTCATAATACTGGCTGGTATAAAGATGTCAGGATATTGTTAATCGAGATCGGCAAAAAAGATCCATATAATGGAATTTTTCTTGAGATATGATACGATGAAAAATCGGAAATTGTTATTTCTGAAAGAATACAAAAAATTAAGGGTTTTGTTAATCAAGCATCCCCTAATTTTCGGTCTCTACAGATAAATTTGGCGATTTTTTGATTCACTATGAATAAAACATTGAAGTATCCTTCAATATTTTTCTGAAATCTTATTGAAAAAATAGCAATATAGTGTTCCCTTTTTATTTAATGCATCACAAAATACAAATGAAGGGACCTATGAGCAAAACAGTATCATTTTTTGACGTCCGTCTATCCAGCAAATTTTACGCTCGCTTGCTACTGCGTTATGAGTAACAATGTCCACTCTCCTTGTGTTCACATGATTAATCAGGAACTTTTATTGGTCGAGATCATGTGCCGACAGAGAAATTCATGTGACGGAAATTTTTCGGATTTTCCACATCAAGTTCCCGATGCGTTTTCTCGTATATGGTAATCGAACCGGCCTGAACGGAGTTTTAACGAGAAAGAATGGTTATTGGTTAACAAATTTACTTAATCGCAAACTCTTCAAATGTCAGCAAAGCAATTTAAGTCGACACAAGTACTGAGAGATCTTTTCCTTCAATAGAAGAAATTGAAAAGTACTCTCCTGAGCAACTTGTTAGTTTCTTAGAGTCTAGAAATTTATATCTTAAGGATAATCATATCGAAATAATCGAAAAATGATATCGCCGGTAGTGACTTTCTTCTCTTAAAAGAAGATGATCTCTATCGAATTGGATTATCTACTGGTCCAGCCAAAAGAATAACACGGTTTATTAAGGAAGTTTCGAGAACATCTATAATGGACAGGCCATCTAATAACCTTGCACACGTATTTATTGATAATTCGAATATCTGGATTGAGGGTAAGTACACCGTTGGAAACCTCGAGCGGTTAGGTACCTACGACTATGACAGAAATTCCTATTACTTTAAACAGCTCTAGATCGACCATGGTAGACTTCTCAACACAATTCAATGTGGACGTAAACTGGGTAGTGCACCATTATTGGTCGGTTCTCGTCCGCCTCCTAACGATTCATTGTGGACTCGCATTAGGGATCAAGGTTCGAGGTGAATATATTTGATCGGGACATAAGCCATCGTGAAAAGGAAGTCGACACACATCTTGCAATAACAGCAACGAAAATAATTATGGCCAATGATCCTGGTGTTTTAGTTTTGATTGCCGGTGACAGGGATTATAGACCTTTAGTAAAACTAGCACTGCAACACAATTGGCTTGTGGAGACATGGTTTTGGAGTTCAGGTATGAAAATGTCATATTCGAAGTTATATGAATTTGCCTAATTCGAAACATCTTATCTTCATAGGAGTTTCCAGTTTTCTCAAGTCAGATACGATTTTTCGATCTTTGGATAATTGTTATCGTACCTTCTCATATGGATTAGGTCCTGTTCTTATTGAGAAATACCACGTTCTTGAGGTTACTGATATTAACGCTATTCAAAATTTGAAGAACGAAGATGTACTGGAATGGTTTAATAATTTAAAATAGTTTGGTTGGTGGAATTGGGAAGGTTATAAATTGCGATTCTATTTTAATAATTCGAATTACTTGAAGATGGTAAAAAATTGGATCATGCACAATTATCAAGAAGTGCGAGTTGAGGAAAAAATTTAAGAATGGTATTCTATCTTTTATATTACAAAATGTACTTGGAATTTGATTGTGTCTGTCATCAGATAAGGTATTATATATTTTCGTGGGAGAACTTTTCTTTCGTCAAATAAGGCAGAAAATTCAACGCAGAGTTTCGGTTTATGTTATCAAAATGGTACTGGAACGGTTTCCCGTTTTATCTTTGAAATAAAGTACTGGGGATAATGATTATTTTGACTGTTCAATAACCTGCAATAATAAACATAAACTTTTCCGAAATCATAGTGAAAATAAATCAGATCATGAGTAATTTTCTGATTATTGTCTTTGGCATTGGTAATCTTGTTATATAACTCACGAAAACCAATTGAATCTTTGCCAATTTCGGAAACGTCCAACTGCAAAATGATCGTATTGCCAGATGAGGATTTCTGGGTAAAAGTTGTCAACTCTTTGATTAATTTTTCAACATTGGTGAGTCTTCTTTTTTAGCTGGCTTAGTTTTTTTGTTGTGAGAAGTATCGTTAAAGTAGGTTCATTAACACGTTTTTGTGGTAAAACAGTAGTTGATACTAGATGTTTCCTCGACATGATGCTCGGCTTCATTTCTATCCAGATCTATTGGTTGATCCTAGGATGAAGTTTTTTGAGAACTAAATCCCACAATACGGGTGAACTCATCAGCCAGATTCGAAGTACTGTATCACTTATTTCAGAAGATACAGAGTCTCATCGTTGGGCTTCATCAATAAGCTCAATACTTTTTCCACACTTAGGAAAGGAACATTTATTTGGTATGGTAAGCAGAATCTTTTTCTCAATACAGAATTTATGAAAGATGTGCCCACAGACGAGCATAGAACTTGATTGGGAGGAAAATAGCTGAACCCAAAGTCATATACAGTATAGCTATTACCTATACTTTGGGTTCTAACTTATATTTTGATTTATATACTATATATACTTGAAATTAAAATTTAAATTTTCGACAATTAGTAATTGAAATTAAAAAAAATTTTTTTTTTTTCATTAGTAACTTAAAATTAAGGTTTTAAAATCACTATTTTTATTTAATTTTATCTTAAATTGATAAAATTAAAATTCTTACCATTTTTTTTTTTTTTTTTTAAAAAAAACACTCAACTTGCCTATTTATTGATTATATGTGATACATTTACATCTATTTATAGAATGATTGTGTAAACTATTTTCAATATTGAGCAAAACAATAAAATCAATTGGTAACGGACTCAATTTTACAACCCCTTGTGACTTGTTGTACCTGATTAGAGGGATTAACGTGTCTAGGCTCCATCAGTGTGTTTAGTAAGGATGTCAAGGATGTTTAGAGTGCCTGTGATGATTTTCTCCATTGTTTTTCTTTGTATTGTTGTGATGGATATGTCTTTCTGAACAGTAAACCTTTTAGACTTGTGCTTCTTTTTCTTCAGAGTTTTGGATATGCCCATGGCTTTCTCCTATATTTGGATATAGATGCATCTGTCTGTTTGTATATTGTAAGTGATGAATCTAATTCTATAAATGATGTTATGGGTGGCTTCTGCTATTTTGTCAAATAGGATGAATTGACTGATTGTTTGTATAACTTTCCTGCTGATGCCTCCTCTGATAAAAATATTCCATAACTCGTTTGTTTCTATGTGGTTTTCAATTTTCTTCTTGCAGGAGTGTGGATTTTCTTTCTCAGTTTATGTGATAGTTTCTGAGTATATGGTATTGAGTATTATTTTGTTGATGTGAATTCCATGATGCTTATATCTGAAGGGGTGGATGTTGTCTTCAATTTATAAGCAAGTAAAGCATGTAGGTAATCTATAAATTTCAGGTTTGTAAATATGCAATTTGTCCATTATTGGAAGTTCTAGATTTCATAGTTTAATAGTAAATTGTCTGTAGCTATGATCTATATTATCTATATGGTTACTTGTGATTTTTGTAGGATATAAATGTTAAAGTGTCTTTTTCCAGTCAATGTTAGCTTTTTGGTATTGATTAAGTTCACAGTTTCAATCAAATAAGATCCATTTATGTGTGAGTGTGGCTTGTCTCATTCATTTTATCATTTTGCAGATAGTATCAGTAATTTCTAGCTTTTGATTGTAATTGAAAATAATGACCTTGGGTTCCAGAAGTTTTTGTGTTAAATTGCTGCTGATGGTGTTGTCCTTTAAACTTTGTTTGGCTAGCTTGTTTGCTTGTTTTAATTTGTCATTATTATTTTCTTTTTTGTTGATTTTGATCCAGCTGATTGAGGTTTGTGTTGCCTTGATGCAATAGTGTAAGTTGTCGATGAGTCTGACTTCTAATATATTTTTAATTTATCCAAGTAATGCTTTTTCAAGCTCCGTAATTAGTTTAGCTGAATCTGTTTATATAAGTGCTTTTTGTCTAAAAAGTAGGGTGCTAATTGCGATAGTTTTAACTAAGATCTCTACTCTGAAGGCTGAGCACTGCCCTGTGATTTTGAGTTTGAAGTTGTCATGTGTCGTGCTGGTTAAGAAGATGATGCCTACTTCTAGGGCATTATAATCATTGTAGTTGAAAGCTTCATATATGGTTATTTTGATCATCTCATTTATATTAATATTTTTGTTGATATTGATAAGCTGTTGTATTATAGGGTTAGGATATCTATTAGCTGTAATAAATTTTTTATGGAAGTTGGGATTGTGTCGACCTCAACTGCCTTCATAGTTTGATTAGGTTTATTGAGCCAGCATTGAGTATTATTGAGTGAGAGCTAGATCCTGAAATGTGGCTTTTCTGAAGTTTTTGCATTTATTTTGAATGTTTTGATTACTGGAACTTTGTACAGCAATTTCATTGAAGCTGTGAAGTAGCATATATGACTTCTTTTATCTATATATTAATTCAATTTGCATCCTGAACATTTTGCTTATAGTGAGATGTCTGTGGTGAGATAGTGTCATAGTTTTGTGTCATCTTTGTTTTGACTCACTTGTTTTCCAATAGTAAAGTCATGATGTCGCTAGAGAATGTATCATGACTTGTTGAGATTTCTTTGTTGTTTTTGTTCCAATTCTGTGTTGCATTTAATTTGCATTTTAGAGTTGAGTTAATTAAAATTTATGTAGTTGTTAATGTAGATTTGTGTTGTGGCTTTGAGTGTTATGAAGAAAGAGGGTTATTTTCACTTATTTGTTTTATTGTGAAGTGCTTCTACTTGATGTCAATTTAAGGCCTTTGTGTAGTAGATATTAAGAAGTTGTTTGACCCACATTATGTTGTGTGCTCTTAGTTCCTTTTTGTTGAAGTTATACTATTTATTAGCCATGATGTCTTCAATATAGGTAAGTCTATCATTGTTATTTCTGGTTATTGTTTGGCATTGTAATATAATATTTTGGACCTGTATGTTATTAAGTATATTGTATATAAAGTTGGCTTTTGCTGAGAGGATCTTTGGGCATTTTTTGAGGACATCCTCTTTTTGCCATGTCATTCACTGCAGTTGTTGGGTTCTGAGTCTGATTATTTGTCCTATCAGATTATTACTGTGGTATAGTTCTTGAAAATCACTGCAGTGTTTCTGTTGTTGTCATGTTTCAACTTCTATGATGTTGTACTGATTGCTGAGGTGTGCTAATAGAGTTGGAGCAGTTTTTGAGAGTTTAACATGATGTTTGAGGCAGCTGCGTATACAGCAGTCTATCCATTGTGTTTTATTTTTCATTAGTATCAGATCTGTTAGTAGGTATTTTATTGTAGAAAAAAAAATGTGATTTGTGATATAATAGTATATCTTGTTTATAATTTGTTTTCTGACTATTGAGTTACAGATTGTGGTAACTTCCTTTTAATGAGATTATGTTGATATTGTTTTCCTTTTTTCCTTTCGTGGCATACATATAGAACTCTTATTACCTATATTTTAGTAGTTGATATTACTTTGTATTCTTGAAAAGTGATACTTTTTTGTTGGCTATTTAGTATTAAAAGTTCAGATTTAAGGGGGTTGACTGTAATGCCATTGAGGTGATAAAAGAAGGCACTGACTTCCATGATATCTTCGAGTTGCTCTCTATTTTGGACAATGAATGTGGTATCATCCATGTATGCCATTACAATAACATTGAGGTTTGTGGGACTGCTATTGTCAAGGTTTGATCTATAGCTGTTAAGCTGATAATCTTTTATTGAGCTGATTGTGCTTATTAGGGGGTCATAGTATATGCACTAAAGAAGGGATGAGATTGAATCACCCTGATCAATTTCTTCTTCGACTTGATATGGGTTAATAAGCCCGAAATACATGATTACCTTGTTGAACCTGTTTGTGAAGCAATTGTTAATTATATTGATTAATTTGTTTGACATTTTTATTTGTTGAAGTGAGTTGGTCAATCTTTGTGTGTTGATGATGTTATATGCCTTGCTCATATCTTGAAAGAGCATGAGGCATTGTTTGTTTGTTTCTCGTGTATCTTCTAATACTTGATTTATAATAGTAATAGGTTTGCGCATACTGCTTTTGAGGAGTGCTGCCCAGTTATTTTCTAATAAGATTGGATATTCGATCATTATTTTGACTAGTCTATTATTAATGTGTTTGGTAAAAATTTTTTTGATGGATTTGAGAAACATGTTGGGTCAAGTGATGTTGATAATATGTTAGTATATTGTACCTTCTTTCCATTCAGTAGATAATCTCTCATATGTTATTGAAGAGTATAGTTATGACCTCTAAGGTTTCTTTGCTTAGGTGTTTATAGTAAGATAAAGAATTTGTGATAGTCCAAAGGCTGATTTGTTACTAGAATTTTTGATTACTTGCTGTACTTCTTAAGTAGTAAATAGAATAAATGCAGGCTTGTATTATTCATCTTTGATAGTGACAATGGGTTGATATGCGT